GGGGTTAGATTGGTTGAGGAGTGGCGGAGAGAGTTCTGGGCCATCTCTGCCCAGGGGACATACCTCGCCCACTCCTCCGGCCGGCCCTGGCAATACGATCTAAGAAACCTACCCACATCCTGGTTCACACGTTCCACCTGCCCATTACTCTCCGGGTGGTAACCCGAGGTCAGGCTCACCGAGACCCCCAAACGCTCCATAAACGCCCTCCAGACTCTGGAGGTAAACTGGGGACCTCGATCAGACACTATATCCTCGGGTACCCCGTAGTGCCGGAACACGTGGGTGAATAGTGCTTCGGCGGTCTGTAGGGCAGTAGGAAGAGCCGGCATTGGGAGAAGACGACAGGCCTTAGAGAACCGATCCACAACGACCAGTATAGTAGTATTCCCCTGTGAAGGGGGAAGGTCTGTGACGAAATCCACCGAGAGGTGAGACCATGGTCGTTGTGGAACGGGCAGGGGTTGTAACTTACCCCTGGGCAGGTGTCTAGGCGCCTTACACTGGGCGCACACCGAACAGGAGGAGACAAACCCTCACATCCCTTGCTAACGTTGGCCACCAGTACTTAGCGCTAAGGCAGTGCACAGTCCGGCCAATACCAGGATGTCCAGAGGAGGGTGACGTGTGAGCCCAATATATCAGTCGATCCCGAACCTCGAGCGGAACGTACGTCCGACCCACCGGACACTGTGGAGGACTAGGGTCGGTACGCAACGCCCGCTCGATTTCAGCATCGACCTCCCACACTACCGGTGCCACCAGACAAGACTCCGGCAGTATGGGGGTGGGCTCAACGGACCTCTCCTCCATGTCAAACCGCCGAGACAGTGCGTCTGCCTTACCGTTCTGGGACCCAGGGATGTACGTGATCTTAAATACGAACCGGGCTAAAAACATGTTCCACCGCGCCTGGCGAGGGTTCAATCTCCTAGCTGCCCGGATGTACTCCAGGTTACGGTGGTCAGTCAAAATGAGAAAAGGGTGTTGAGCCCCCTCAAGCCAATGCCTCCACACCTTTAGGGCCTGTACCACGGCTAACAGCTCCCTGTCCCCTACGTCATAATTTTGCTCCGCCGGGCTGAGCTTTTTGGAGTAAAAAGCACAGAGGCGGAGTTTAGGTGGCGTGCCGGACCGTTGCGAAAGTACGGCCCCAATACCGGCCTCTGACACGTCAACCTCCACCTGAAATGGTAAAGCGGGATCCGGATGCGCCAGCACCGGAGCCGAAGTAAACAGGTCCTTCAGTCTCCCAAAAGCCCTGTCCGCCTCGACTGACCACTGCAAACGCACCGGACCCCCCTTCAACAGAGACGTTATGGGAGCTGCCACCTGTCCAAAACCCCGGATAAACCTCCGGTAGTAATTTGCAAACCCCAAAAACCGCTGCCCCTCTTTAACAGTAGTTGGAGTTTGCCAATTACGCACGGCTGACACTCGGTCAACCTCCATCTTCACCCCTGACGCAGACAACTGATAACCCAAAAAGGAGATCAACTCCTGGAAAAACAGACATTTCTCTGCCTTGACATACAGGTCGTGCTCCAACAACCTCCTCAACACTCGGCGCACCAGGGCTACATGCTCGGCTCGGGTAGAAGAGTACACAAGAATGTCATCAATGTACACGACCACACCCTGCCCCTGCATGTCCCTGAAGATCTCATCTACGAAGGATTGGAAGACTGAAGGAGCGTTCATCAACCCGTATGGCATGACGAGATACTCGTAATGACCTGAGGTGGTACTAAATGCTGTCTTCCATTCGTCGCCCTCTCTAATGCGCACCAAGTTGTATGCGCTCCTGAGATCTAATTTTGTGAAGACACGCGCCCCGTGCAATGACTCCGTCATAGTCGCAATCAGCGGGAGTGGATAACTGTATTTCACCGTGATCTGATTGAGACTATGGTAATCAATGCACAGGCGCAAACCTCCATCCTTCTTCTTCACAAAAAAGAAGCTCGAGGACGCAGGGGAAGTGGAAGGCCGTATGTATCCTTGTCTCAGAGATTCGGCTATGTACGTCTCCATAGCTCTCTTCTCCTCTTGAGACAGAGGATACACATGGCTCCGTGGAAGTGCTGCTCCTGCCTGGAGGTCAATCGCACAATCTCCCTGCCTATGAGGAGGCAACTGCATCGCCCTCGATTTACTGAACACGATTGCCAAATCCTCATACTCAGGGGGAATGTGCAGCGCGGGCACCTGGTTTGGACTCTCCACCGAGGTCGCCCCCACGGAAACACCTAGACATCGCCCCACACACTGGGCAGACCACTCCTTAAGAGCCCTCTGTTGCCACGAAATAGAAGGATTATGGGTAATCAACCAGGGAAGCCCCAACACCACCGGATATGCAGGAGAGTCAATCAGATATAGCTGAATAGTCTCCTCATGACCCCCCTGTGTCCTCATCCTAAGTGGCGCTGTGACCTCCCTAATCAACCCCGATCCCAGGGGATGGCTGTCTAACGCATGGACTGGAAAGGGGGCGTCGACAGGAAGAAGGGGAATTCCTAGTTTCAAACAAAAATGTCGATCAACAAAATTCCCAGCTGCGCCTGAATCTACTAGCGCCTTATGCTGGGAATGAGGTGCAACCTGTGGAAAATTTACAGGTAAACAGACGTGCACAACAGAGAGCTCTGGGTAAGTGGGACGCCTACTCACCTGGAATGACTCCCAAGTGCGTAACCTGTCGTCCTCTCCCCTAGGAGACCCTCCCCAGCACCTGGCCGCAGTGTGCCCTCCACGGCCACAGTTGGTGCAGGGGACAGCCCCCCTCGGGCTCCTCCTCCTCTCTCTAGCGCCAGCACCTCCGAGCTCCATAGGGCTCGGCTCGGAGGTGCTGGAGGGTGGAATGGACGACCCCCACTCGGAACGTCCGCGGGTTGCCAGCAGGGTGTCAAGCCGGATGGACATGTCCACCAGCTGGTCGAAGGTGAGGTGGGCATCCCTGCAGGCCAACTCTCGACGGACGTCCTCCCGTAGACTACAACGGTAGTGGTCGATGAGGGCCCGCTCATTCCACCCTGCATCCGCCGCTAGAGTCCGGAACTCCAGGGCGAACTCCTGTGCACTCCTCCTCCCCTGTCGGAGGTGGAACAGACGCTCCCCCGCCGCCTTCCCCTCAGGTGGATGGTCGAACACTACCCTGAAGCGGCGGGAGAACTCCGCGTAGGTGATGGTGGCGGCGTCTATTCCCCTCCATTCGGCGTTGGCCCACTCCAACGCCTTGCCGGTGAGACAGGAGATGAGGGCGGAGACGCTCTCGTATCCCGAGGGCGCCGGGTGTATGGTAGCCAGGTAGAGTTCCACCTGCAGGAGGAACCCCTGACACCCGGCTGCGGTACCATCATAGGCCCTCGGGAGCGAGAGCCGAATACCACTGGGTTCCGGTGCTGGAAGAGAAGGACTGGCCGATGGTGATGGTATGGTGTGCGGAGGTGTGGGCACCTCTCCGGTGACCAAACGGCGCAGAGTGTTAGACACCTTGTTCATGGCGGCCCCAAGTTGCTGGATCATCGTGTCCTGATAGCTGATCCGTTCCTCCAGCGACTTGGGTGCCGCCGCTGCTCCTGCTGACTCCATAGGTGGTGTGTTATTCTGTCAAATGAACTGATGTGGATGTGGTGGAGGAGTCAGGCGCAGGACACAGAGGCTTCGTCCAACAGACTTTACTAGTCAAAGGTGACAAAATACAATACACGGCCTCGAAAACAAACAGAGGCGAGCGATTACACAAACTGTGCGTAAAACACCAAACAAACAAACAGAGCGAAAACACGCAGCTCCTATGACAGGCAGACAATAACACACAACACAAGACTAACCAAACGAGAAACTTATAGGAGACATAATTAACCAAACAGGAAACAGGTGTACACAATCAGACCAAACCAAACAGACATCGAAAACATCAAACGGTGATAGCTAATACTCCGGGGACGACGACCGCCGGAACCTGCCCGAACAAGGAGGAGGAGCAGCCTCGGCCGAAACCGTGACATTTATACAGGGAAAGATCTCAACACTTTATACAGGGAAAGATCTCAACACTTTAAACAGGGAAAGTTCTCAGCACTTTATACAGGGAAAGATCTCAACACTTTATACAGGGAAAGACCTCAACACTTTATACAGGGAAAGACCTCAACACTTTGTACAGGGAAAGATCTCCCAACACTTTATACAGGGAAAGACCTCAACACTTTATAAAGGGAAAGACCTCAAAACTTTATACAGGGAAAGATCTCAACACTTTATACAGGGAAAGACCTCAACACTTTATACAGGGAAAGATCTCAACACTTTATACAGGGAAAGACCTCAGCACTTTATACAGGGAAAGATCTCAACACTTTATACAGGGAAAGACCTCAACACTTTATAAAGGGAAAGACCTCAACACTTTATACAGGGAAAGATCTCAACACTTTATACAGGGAAAGACCTCAACACTTTATACAGGGAAAGACCTCAACACTTTATAAAGGGAAAGATCTTCCGTCCAGAAACAGGAAGCAAGAATCAAGTCCAATAGCTAGTCAGCACTCTGTTATCCACACATCTTCATGACTACTGATTAGAACTCCCAGGTTGTCCTGGGCTGGCTGATCAACTATTAACCCAGCTGATTAGAACTCTCAGGTTGTCCTGGGCAACTATTAACCCAGCTGATTAGAACTCTCAGGTTGTCCTGGGCAACTATTAACCCAGCTGATTAGAACTCCCAGGTTGTCCTGGGCAACTATTAACCCAGCTGATTAGAACTCCCAGGTTGTCCTGGGCTGGCTGATCAACTATTAACCCAGCTGATTAGAAGTCTCTGGCGTAGCGTGGGAGTTCCTCAGAGGGCATTAACCCAGCTGATTAGAAGTCTCTGGCGTAGCATGGGAGTTCCTCAGAGGGCATACATAAGAAACACATTCCGTCTGTCTGTCAGTCATTACACTACCCTCAGATAGACAGATCTCAGTCTGTTACTATCCCTACAGACAGTACTTTCTGTCCCTACTCTACATCCCTACAGACATGGGGAAAGGGTTCTTCATCAGCAAGACATTGGGGATAGTTGGTGTGATCGTGGGGACTGGAGTGGTGGCCGCCATCATCGCCCTGTCAGTGGTCTATAGCCAGGAGAAGGCCAAGAACCAGGAGGCAGCAGATGGAGGTGGAGTGCCCCCCACCCCCTCCACTCCTAAAGACCCCTGGGACCACTACAGACTGCCTGACTCCCTGTCTCCCGTCTCCTACAACATCACCCTCTGGCCTCGACTGGTTGTCAATGCCTCTACTGGCCTCTACATCTTCACAGGACAGTCAGCTGTGGTGTTCCAGTGTAAGAAGGACACAGATCTCATCCTCATCCACTCTAACAAGCTGAACCTGACTCTGCTCAATGGCCACCATGCCAGACTGACTGGCCTGGATGGATCTACTGCTCCCACCATAAAGAAAAGCTGGCTGCAGGTTCCTACTCAGTTCCTAGTGATCCAGCTGGATAGTAATCTGATGGTGGGGAAACAGTATGAGCTGTACACTGATTTTATAGGAGAACTGGCTGATGACCTGGGAGGCTTCTACAGGAGTGAATATACAGAGGATGGGAGTCCCCCAGTGAGAAAGTAAGGAAAACATAAATGATAATTTACAAGCCATGGAAACCTTAATAAAAGGGTCACCAAGCCATGGAAACCTTAATAAAAGGGTGACCAAGCCATGGAAACCTTAATAAAAGGGTGACCAAGCCATGGAAACCTTAATAAAAGGGTGACCAAGCCATGGAAACCTTAATAAAAGGGTGACCAAGCCATGGAAACCTTAATAAAAGTGTCATCTGTGCCGTACAATGCTGTTCATCTGAAGTGCATTTACTGATTGGAATGATTGAAAATTACGTTTTGGTTCGTTAAACCTATTCTATAAAATGTGTCTGAAATCAAATAACAAATTTGACAGATCAATATAATTTATTAATTAAATGACGCTTTCAACACCTCATGCACATCCACATTGAATAGTGTGGTGGGCAGTGTAGTGGCAGTGGGTGGTGGGGTAGAGTGGGGTAGTGTAGTGAGTGGTGGCAGTGTAGTGGTGGGGTGTGTAGTGTGAGTAGTGGGTAGTGAGTGGGGGTAGTGGGGTAGTGTAGTGGTGGGGTAGTGTAGTGGTGGGGTAGTGTAGTGGTGGGGTAGGTGGGGTAGTGTAGTGGTGGGGTAGTGGGTATTGTAGTGTGTTTTAGTAGTGTTGGTAGTTGTTGGTGGGGTAGTGTGTGGTGGTAGTTGTGGTGTAGTGTGAGTGTGGTGTGGGTAGTGTGGTGGGGCAGTGTAGTGTGGGTAGTGGGGTTAGTGGAGTGGTGGGTAGTGGGGTTTGTTAGTGTGGTGGGGTAGTGTAGTTGGTGAGTATGGGTAGTGGAGTGGTGGGGTATGTGGTATGTGTGGGGTAGTGTGGTGGAGTGTAGTGGTAGTGGGTTTGGTGGTGTATTTGTGAGTGGTGGGGGTGGTTGGGGGTTGGTGGGGTGTGTGTGGTGGGTCGTTGTGTTGTGGGTAGTGGTGGTGGTGGGGTCGTGGCGTGTGGAGTTGGTGGGTGGTTTTTGGTGGGTGTGGTGGTGTGGGTTGTGGTTTTCTTTTTGCTTGGGGTTTCTGTGTGGTGGGGTTTTTTGTGGTTGTGGGGTGTTGGGGGTAGTGGGTGTGTGGGGTTTCGTGTGTGGTGGGTTTTGGGTATGTGGGTCGTGGGGTGGATGTGGGCAGGTGTGGGGTTGGGTGGGGTAGTGGTGGGGGGTGTGTGTGGTGGGGAGTTAGTTGTTGGGGTGGGGTGGGGGGGTGGGAGTTGGTGTGTGTTGGTGGTGTGTGAGTAGTGGGTGGGTGGGTGTGTACGTGTGGGGTGGTTGGGTGTATGGGGTGTGTTATTGGTTGGGTCGTGTGTGGTGGGGTTGTGTGTTGGGGGTAGTGTGTGTGGTGTGGGGTCGTGTCGTGGTGTGTTGTCTGTTTGGGGTAGGTTTGTGTTGTGTGGTGTGGTCGTGGGGTAGTTAGTGGTGTAGTTGTAGTGGTCTAGTTGTTGTTGTGTGGTTGGGGTGTGGGTAGTGGGTAGTGTATGTTGTGGTGGGTCGTTTTGTTCGTGGGGTGGTGGGGTTGTTTCGTAGTTGTGGGTCGGTGTGGGGTGGGGTTGGTGTGGTGTGGGGTATGGTGTTGGTTGTGTCGTGGGGTCGTGTGTGTGGGGTGTGTCGTTGGTGGGGGGGGGGGGGGGGGGGGGGTGGTTTAGGGGGTGGGGGGAGGGGGGGGGGGTGGGGAGTGGGGGGGGGAGGGTGGTGGGGGGGGGGGGGGGGGGGGGAGGGTGGGGTGGGGGGGGGGGAGGAGCTTTGGGGGGGGGGGGGGAGGGGGGGGGGGGGGGGGTGTGGGGGGGTAGGGGGGTGGGGGTTTTGGGGTGGTAGGTGGGGGGGGGGGGGGGGGGGGGGTTGGGTCGTGGGGGTGGGGGGGGGAGGGGGGGGGGGGGGGGGTGGGGTTGGTGGGGGGGGCGGGGGGGGGGGTTTGGGGGGGGGGGGTTTCGGGGGGGGGGGGGGGGGGGAGGGGGGGTTTTGGGGGGGTGGGGGGGGGTGGGGGGGGGTTGGAGGGGTGGGTTTGGGGGGTGGGGTGGGGGGAGGGGGGGGGGGGGGGGGTGGGGGGGTGTGGGGGGGGGTGGGTTCGGGGGAGTGGGGGGGGTGGGGGGGGGTGTGGGGGGTTGGGGGGTGGGGGGGTGGAGGGGTTTGGGGGGGGTGGGGAGGGGGGGGGGGTTTTGGGCGTGTTTTGGGGGGGGGGAAAGGGGGGGGGGGGGGGCGTGGGGGGGGGGGGGGGGGGGGTTGGGTGGGGGAGGGGGGGGGGGGGTGGGGGTAGGGGGGGGGGGTTTGGGGGGGTGGGGGGTGGGGGGGTTTTGGGTTAAGTGGTGGGGTAGTGGGGGTGGGGGTTGGGGTGGGTGGTCTGGGTGGGGGGTAGTGGTGTCTTGGCGTGTGGGGTGGTCGGGGTTGGGTGGTGGGGTAGTGTAGAGGTGGGGTGTGGGGGTGGAGTTGTGAGTGGGCAGTGGGTGGTGGGGGGTGGGGTAGTGGGGTGGTGGAGTAGTGTAGAGGTGGGGCAGTGGGGTGGTGGGGTAGTGGGGTGGTGTAGTGGTGGGGTAGTGGGGTGGTGGGGTAGTGGAGTAGTAGGTGGTGGGGTTGTGGAGTGGTGGGGTGGTGGGGTAGTGTAGTGGTGGGGTAGTGGGGTAGTGGGGTAGTGGAGTGGCGGGTAGTTGTCGAGGTGGGGTGTGTAGTGGTGGGGGTAGTGGATGCGGGGTTGTAGTGGCGGGGTAGTGGGTAGTCAGGGTGGTGGGGTAGTGGAGTGGTGGGGTGGTGGGGTAGTGTAGTGGTGGGGTAGTGTAGTGGTGGGGTAGTGGAGTAGTAGGGTGGTGGGGTAGTGTGGTGGGGTAGTGTAGGGTGTGTGATGTGGGTAGTGGGGGTGGGGGGGTAGTGGGTGTGGGGGTGGTGTGGGTCTGGGTGGTGGGTGGGGGGGTGGGGTAGTGTAGTGGTGGGGTAGTGGGGTAGTGGGGTAGTGGAGTGGCGGGGTAGTGTAGTGGCGGCAGTTTATTAGAAGAGTTGGGGTTGTGGTTTATTGGGGGCGTGGCTTTTAGGCTGTTATTTTTGCACACCCGTCAGAGTGAATGTCATTCCAGTTAATATGGTCTATTGTATTAATATCCTTAACAACCAACACCTGTAATGATATTTGCATAAGATACACTGTAAAACATTGACTGCCACTGATGTCATTGTTCATCTGAGCTGCTGTTATTGATCGGTATGTGCTTTGGGTTGTATGTTCAACATATTCAATTAGTCTGAAGTTAAACAATGAATTTGGGAGATCATTGTGTTTGAACCGACTGCAGGTTCTAAATTGCTTTCAACACATCATGCTCTTTGCCACCCGTCAGAGTGAATGTCATTCAAATTCATCTGTTCTGTTGTATTCCCCAAGCAGAGATTTGCTTGTACACTGAATCTGCAATGATACTTAGAAACCTGGTTAAGGCGTCCATTGATTAGATATGTCCATTTGCCTACAATAGGGTGGCAAGTAGCCCATCGGTCACTGGTTCGAATCCCCGAGCCGACTAGGTGATAAATCTGGCTCTGAACCCCAACTGCTCTGGATAAGAGCGTCTCTGTCCCTGAGCAAGGCTCTGAACCCCAACTGCTCTGGATAAGAGCGTCTCTGTCCCTGAGCAAGGCTCTGAACCCCAACTGCTCTGGATAAGAGCGTCTCTGTCCCTGAGCAAGGCTCTGAACCCCAACTGCTCTGGATAAGAGCGTCTACTAAAATGTAAATATTGTGACCGTTAAAGTTTTATGTAAAGATCAATTCGGAGTAATTATTGAATGTTATTGAACCAGTGTAATTTCTCATTTTGCGGGGAATTGATTGAACTGCTTGTACCGCAATTGAAGCGTTTTGGATAGGTAATTCCAAAGTGAAAAATCAACTCTGAACAAGATGAAAAAATGGGTGCATTTACATGAAATAATATTTAGTATTCAACTGAACTTTGGGTTTACAGTGACTTGATTCATTGGACTTTTAATCACTTGAAGTAATTTGTTGACGTTGATCCAAAGACAAATTTGATACTGTAATACAGAGTGCTGATTCATGATGAATTGTTCTCATCAAATCAAGGTTTATTTGTCATATACACAGGGTACAGCGTAGTGAACGATGAAACGCTTCCTGGCAGCTCTCCTCTGGAACAGTTGTTCATGTGTATACCACAGGAGGTTGGGGACACCTTCATTGGGGAGAACAGGCTCGTTCTAATGACTGGAGCGGAATCGGTGGAATGGTATCAAATACATTAAACACATGGTTTCCAGGTGTTTGACTCCATTCCATTGGCTCCGTTCCAGACATTATTAAGAGCCGTCCTCCCCTCAGCAGCCTCCAGTGGTATACCATGGGGGTGCAGTTCAATATTTTCCAAGTGCAATGTATTCTGAACATTCTCACCAGTCAGTGCTTTAGGTAATTAACTGATGGTCCTTGAACTAAGACACTCAGTACCTTTACCTTTCAATGTGAACTTCAAACCGCTTCAACTGCTGATAAGAGTCTTATCAAACTGCAACTGCAACATGCAATATGAATGTATTGACTCTACGTCTAACTGTAACAGTCTTGTAGTACAGCAGTATTAACAAGCGCAACATATTTCAGTAATAACTACAATATGCAGAAGGATTTATAAGTGTGAATGACTGAATGCATTGCACCTACAGTCACTATGTCTAAACTGTAACTGTCCAGTCTTCAGTGCTGTTGTGATACCGGTTGCTGTGTGTGTCGGTAGAGTTGTAGCAACCACTCAGATGCAGCCTGTGGACGCCAGGAAAGCCTTCCCCTGCTTTGATGAACCTGCCATGAAGGCCGTGTTCCACATCACCCTCCTCCACGCACATGGAACCGTGGCTCTGGCCAATGGCATGAATCTAGGTAAGCATGGAACCGTGGCTCTGGCCAATGGCATGAATCTAGGTAAGCATGGAACCCTGGCTCTGGCCAATGGCATGAATCTAGGTAAGCATGGAACCGTGGCTCTGGCCAATGGCATGAATCTAGGTAACATGGAACCTGGCTCTGGCCAATGGCAGAATCTGTACGCATGGAACCCTGCTCTGCCAATGCATGAATCTAGGTAAGCATGGAACCCTGGCTCTGGCCAATGGCATGAATTCTAGGTAAGCATGGAACCCTGGCTAAGCATGGAACCCTGGCTCTGGCCAATGGCATGAATCTAGGTAAGCATGAACCCTGGCTCTGGCCAATGGCATGAATCTAGGTTAAGCATGGAACCCTGGCTCTGGCCAATGGCATGAATCTAGGTAAGCATGGAACCCCTGGCTCTGGCCAATGGCATGAATCTAGGTAAGCATGGAACCCTGGCTCTGGCCAATGGCATGAATCTAGGTAAGCATGGAACCCTGGCTCTGGCCAATGGCATGAATCTAGGTAAGCATGGAACCCTGGCTCTGGCCAATGGCATGAATCTAGGTAAGCATGGAACCCTGGCTCTGGCCAATGGCATGAATCTAGGTAAGCATGGAACCCTGGCTCTGGCCAATGGCATGAATCTAGGTAAGCATGGAACCTGGCTCTGGCCAATGGCATGAATCTAGGTAAGCATGGAACCCTGGCTCTGGCCAATGGCATGAATCTAGGTAAGCATGGAACCCTGGCTCTGGCCAATGGCATGAATCTAGGTAAGCATGGAACCCTGGCTCTGGCCAATGGCATGAATCTAGGTAAGCATGGAACCCTGGCTCTGGCCATGGCATGAATCTAGGTAAGCATGGAACCCTGGCTCTGGCCAATGGCATGAATCTAGGTAAGCATGGAACCCTGGCTCTGGCCAATGGCATGAATCTAGGTAAGCATGGAACCCTGGCTCTGGCCAATGGCATGAATCTAGGTAAGCATGGAACCCTGGCTCTGGCCAATGGCATGAATCTAGGTAAGCATGGAACCCTGGCTCTGGCCAATGGCATGAATCTAGGTAAGCATGGAACCCTGGCTCTGGCCAATGGCATGAATCTAGGTAAGCATGGAACCCTGGCTCTGGCCAATGGCATGAATCTAGGTAAGCATGGAACCCTGGCTCTGGCCAATGGCATGAATCTAGGTAAGCATGGAACCCTGGCTCTGGCCAATGGCATGAATCTAGGTAAGCATGGAACCATGGCTCTGGCCAATGCATGAATCTAGGTAAGCATGGAACCCTGGCTCTGGCCAATGGCATGAATCTAGGTAAGCATGGAACCCTGGCTCTGGCCAATGGCATGAATCTAGGTAAGCATGGAACTCTGGCTCTGGCCAATGGCATGAATCTAGGTAAGCATGGAACCCTGGCTCTGGCCAATGGCATGAATCTAGGTAAGCATGGAACTCTGGCTCTGGCCAATGGCATGAATCTAGGTAAGCATGGAACTCTGGCTCTGGCCAATGCGAATGGAACTGGAATCTGGCCTGGCCTGGCCAATGATTTGGTAAGCATGGAACCCTGGCTCTGGCCAATGGCATGAATCTAGGTAACATGGAACTCTGGCTCTGGCCAATGGCATAAATCTAGGTAAGCATGGAACTCTGGCTCTGGCCAATGGCATGATCAGGTAAGCATGGAACCTGGCTCTGGCCAATGGCATGAATCTAGGTAAGCATGGAACCCTGCTCTGGCCAAGGGCATGAATCTGGTAAGCATGGAACCCGGGCCCTCTGGCCAATGGCATGAATCTGGTAAGCAGGGAAACCCTGGCTCTGGCCCAAGGGCATGAATCTAGGAAAGCATGGAACCTGGCTCTGGCCATGGCATGAATCTAGGGCAAGGCCTGGCGGCCCATGGCACCCTGGAAATAAAAACCCTGGTGGCAAGGGAAAACCTGGTGGAAATGGAAATGCTTCGCCAAGGGAAAACCCGGTTTGGCATGAATCATTAATCAAATGAACCCTGGCTCTGGCCAATGGCATGAATCTAGGTAAGCATGGAACCCTGGCTCTGGCCAATGGCATGAATCTAGGTAAGCATGGAACCGTGGCTCTGGCCAATGGCATGAATCTAGGTAATTGGAACCTGGCTGGCCTGGATGAATCTTCATACGTGGCTCGCAATGGCATGAATCTAGGTAATCATGGAACCCTGGCTTGGCATGCATATCTGGAATACCCTGGCTCTGGCCAATGGCATGAATCGGAAGCATGGAACCCGGCTCGGCAATATGAATCTAGGTAAGCATGGAACCCTGGTCTGGCAATGGCATGAATCTAGTAAGCATGGAAACGTGGCTCTGCCAATGGCATGAATCTAGGTATGTGTGCTGTTGGCTGCTTCTAGGTCCAAAGGGGATGGGATCTGTGATCTGTTTCCTAGATTATAGTTAGAGAGTTTAATGCTACAATCTGCCAAATGTACCTCTCGCTCAGACTGAGAGAACCAGTTCTGCCAAACTCTCAACAACTGTCTGAAGAAAATACAAGCATTGCATTTTTTAGTCTTTTTTAAAGTAAGCTGCTATACAAATATACTTTGTAGGCTTTTCCACTGCCGTACTCAGCTGACTATATACTAAGTTGTGTAACCTTCTAGAATCTATGGTAGAACCTCAGAGAGTTCCTGTTGTCACTGGAGGGATCTGAACTCTGGTCTCCTGCTGGGAAAACCAATGTGTCGTCTCTGCTACGCTCACTAACCCGTTTCTCTCTCCACCTGTAGCCTCAGTCAACGTCACTGTCAACGACCAGGATGTTACTCGGACCAGCTTCAAACCCACACCCCTCATGTCAACCTATCTACTGGCCTTTGTAGTCAGTGAGTTCGATTTCATCCGGTCACCAGAAGGGGAAAAGGTTTTGGTACGTATTATTAACAGCTCTGGATCTTATTGGTCTGCGTTGGGGAGAAGTTTCCCCTTCGTACAGATCTAGGACCAGCTTCCCCTCCCCAAATCCTCAGTTATCCCAGAACTCTAAAATCTCGCGTAATTTGGTCAGGTGTTTACGTAGTCTGTTCACGGGAGATGACCCAAACCTTAAAGGGATACCGCTCTTGGAAAGTAGATAAACGGCCTCCTGGTCAAAATCCCGAAGTCTCCCTTTAACCATTAGTAGTGAAAATGCAAAACTGACCCCAGATCAGCGTCTAGGGGAAACGTCAGCATACTACACCGTTGTGTCTTCAGGACGAGGGAGACGTTATTGGTTTATTTCTCTGTGCTGCCCTCTAGCGGTCTCTCCAGCTCAGTACAGCTGACAGGGCAGACCAGGGGACAGTATCTCATGAAGGAAAACATGTCTTTATTTCCAGATCAGGATTTGGGCTCGTAAACAGGCCATTGCTGAAGGCCAGGGAGATTACGCCCTCAAAAAAACTGGACCAATCCTGGAGTTCTTTGAAAAATACTACAACTCTAGCTATCCTCTGACCAAATCAGGTAAGACTTAAAGAGCTACGTAATATTCTTACTCTCAGATTCCCCGTCTGTTGTTGAAGAGGATACGCATATTCAGAGTGCGTCCCAAATGACGCCCTATTCCCTTGTGTGGTGCACTACTTTAGACCAGGGCCCACAGGCCTCTAGACAAAAGTAGTGTACTATATAGGGAATAGGGCACCATTTGAGATATGTACGCTCCTGTGTGTTGTAGACCAGATAGCTCTGCCTGACTTCAGTGCTGGAGCCATGGAGAACTGGGGTCTGATCACCTACAGAGAGACAGCCCTGCTCTTCAACCCTGTTAGCTCATCCAACGCAGACAAAGAGTGGATCGCTACCGTCATCTCTCATGAACTGGCTCACATGGTATGTTTTACAGTCAATACTATACTGTTATATATACGGAGTGGCTGCAGATGGCTCCCTGGTATGTTTTACAGTCAATACTATACTGTTATATATAAGGAGTGGCTGCAGATGGCTCCCTGGTATGTTTTACAGTCAATACTATACTGTTATATATACGGAGTGGCTGCAGATGGCTCCCTGGTATGTTTTACAGTCAATACTATACTGTGATATATACGGAGTGGCTGCGCTTCAATTTTTTCTGGAATCCAAATTGTCATGGCTAAAAATACAGAGATTTCTGCGCCTGTGGCAGGATTTTCTTTTAAGGTAGCTCAGTGTCCACTCCACTGACTACATAGCTGAGTGTCCACTCCACTGACTACATAGCTGAGTGTCCACTCCACTGACTACATAGCCGAGTGTCCACTCCACTGACTACATAGCTGAGTGTCCACTCCACTGACTACATAGCCGAGTCCACTCCACTGACTACATAGCCGAGTGTCCACTCCACTGACTACATAGCTGAGTGTCCACTCCACTGACTACATAGCTGAGTGTCCACTCCACTGACTACATAGCTGAGTGTCCACTCCACTGACTACATAGCTGAGTGTCCACTCCACTGACTACATAGCCGAGTGTCCACTCCACTGACTACATAGCCGAGTGTCCACTCCACTGACTACATAGCCGAGTGTCCACTCCACTGACTACATAGCTGAGTGTCCACTCCACTGACTACATAGCTGAGTGTCCACTCCACTGACTACATACAGTGCATTCAGAAAGTATTCAGACCCCTTGACTTTTTCCACATTTTGTTACGTTACAGCCTTATTCTAAAATGGATGAAATTAAAATGTTCCCTCGTCAATCTACACACAATACCCCATAATGAAAAAGTGAAAACGGGTTTTTATAAATTTTGGCACATTTATTAAAAATAAAAACAGAAATACGTTATTTACAGAAGTATTCAGACCCTTTGTTATGAGACTCGAAATTGAGCTCAGGTGCATCCTGTTTCCATTGATCATCCTTGAGATGTTTCTACAACTTGGGAGTCCACCTGTGGTAAATTCAATTGATTGGACATGATTTGGAAAGGCACACACCTGTCTATATAAGGTCCCACAGTTGACAGTGCATGTCAGAGCAAAAACCAAGCCATGAGGTCGAAGGAATTGTCCGTAGTGCCCTGAGACAGGATTGTGTCAAGGCAGAGATCTGGGGAAGGGTACCAAAACATTGATGCAGCATTGAAGATCCCCAAGAACACAGTGGTCTCCATCATTTTTAAATGGAAGAAGTTTGGAACCACCAAGACTCTTCCTTGAGCTGGCCGCCCGGCCAAACTGAGCAATCGGGGGAGAAGGGCCTTGGTCAGGGAGGTGACCAAGAACCCGATGGTCACTCTGACAGACCTCCAGAGTTCCTCTATGGAGATGGGAGAACCTTCTAGAAGGAAAACCATCTCTGCAACACTCCACCAATCAGGCCTTTATGGTAGAGTGGCCAGACGGAAGCCACTCCTCAGTAAAAGGCACAAGACAGCCCGTTTGGAGTTTGCCAAAACGCACCTAAAGGACTCTCAGACCATGCGAAACAAGATTCTCTAGTCTGATGAAACCAAGATTGAACTCTTTGGCCTGAATGCCAAGCGTCACGTCTGGAGGAAACCAGGCACCATCCCTACGGTGAAGCATGGTGGTGGCAGCATCATGCTGTGGGGATGCTTTTCAGTGGCAGGGACTGGGAGACTAGGATTTGGGTTGGCAGATTTAGAAATATTTCCATAGGTATCCCTAAGGCCCCTGGGCTAAATGGTGTGTGCATTGATTAGTTTAGTGAAGTGTGGGATGGGAGAGTTCTGATAGCAGCCTGTCCGTGTCATGGGTGTTCAGTTTGGCTGTTTCGGGTTACTCGTCCAGAGACCTGCTGTCTGGTTGGGGGAGCCTGTCTGCAACCTGGGACCTCTGCAGGGATTTAGCAAATGTCAGGCAGATCTGCTCCCATCTGCTCTCCAAAGACATGATTCCTAGAGTTTCGAGGGCTTCACAAAAGCTGGTGTACAACTCGCCCATAATTATTCTGCAGGCTGTCTTCTGGACGCTCTCCAGCTGAGCAGACAGAGGTTGAGAGAGGCCAGGGAGCCAGGCAGCGACAGCATACTCCAGAACTGGTCTGACGTGGAAAATATGGACTTTAGCCTTTACTACTGTAGCCCATAGAAACACATTGAATAACACACTCATAAATGGCAAAAAAGACAGTCAAAAAAATTAATCATAAGGAATAAGGTTTTGAAGTGTTTGTTCTACAGTGGGGAAAAAAAGTATTTAGTCAGCTTCCAATTGTGCAAGTTCTCCCACTTAAAAAGATGAGAGAGGCCTGTAATTTTCATCATAGGTACACGTCAACTATGACAGACAAATTGAGGAAAAAAAATCCAGAAAATCACATTGTAGGATTTTTATTGAATTTATTTGCAAATTATGGTGGAAAATAAGTATTTGGTCACCTACAAACAAGCAAGATTTCTGGCTCTCACAGACCTGTAACTTCTTCTTTAAGAGGCTCCTCTGTCCTCCACTCGTTACCTGTATTAATGGCACCTGTTTGAACTTGTTATCAGTATAAAAGACACCTGTCCACAACCTCAAACAGTCACACTCCAAACTCCACTATGGCCAAGACCAAAGAGCTGTCAAAGGACACCAGAAACAAAATTGTAGACCTGCACCAGGCTGGGAAGACTGAATCTGCAATAGGTAAGCAGCTTGGTTTGAAGAAATCAACTGTGGGAGCAATTATTAGGAAATGGAAGACATACAAGCCCACTGATAATCTCCCTCGATCTGGGGCTCCACGCAAGATCTCACCCCGTGGGGTCAAAATTATCACAAGAACGGTGAGCAAAAAACCCAGAACCACACGGGGGGACCTAGTGAATGACCTGCAGAGAGCTGGGACCAAAGTAACAAAGCCTACCATCAGTAACACACTACGCCGCCAGGGACTCAAATCCTGCAGTGGCAGACGTGTCCCCCTGCTTAAGCAAGTACATGTCCAGGCCCGTCTGAAGTTTGCTAGAGTGCATTTGGATGATCCAGAAGAGGATTGGGAGAATGTCATATGGTCAGATGAAACCAAAATAGAACTTTTTGGTAAAAACTCAACTTGTCTTGTTTGGAGGACAAAGAATGCTGAGTTGCATCCAAAGAACACCATACCTACTGTGAAGCATGGGGGTAGAAACATCATGCTTTGGGGCTGTTTTTCTGCAAAGGGACCAGGACGACTGATCCGTGTAAAGGAAAGAATGAATGGGGCCATGTATCGTGAGATTTTGAGTGAAAACCTCCTTCCATCAGCAAGGGCATTGAAGATGAAACGTGGCTGGGTCGTTCAGCATGACAATGATCCCAAACACACCGCCCGGGCAACGAAGGAGTGGCTTCGTAAGAAGCATTTCAAGGTCCTGGAGTGGCCTAGCCAGTCTCCAGGTCTCAACCCCATAGAAAATCTTTGGAGGGAGTTGAAAGTCTGTGTTGCCCAGCGACAGCCCCAAAACATCATTGCTCTAGAGGAGATCTGCATGGAGGAATGGGCCAAAATACTAGCAACAGTGTGTGAAAACCTTGTGAAGACTTACAGAAAACGTTTGACCTGTGTCATTGCCAACAAAGGGTATATAACAAAGTATTGAGAAACTTTTGTTATTGACCAAATACTTATTTTCCACCATAATTTGCAAATAAATTCATAAAAAAATCCTACAATGTGATTTTCTGGATTTTTTTTCCTCATTTTGTCTGTCATAGTTGACATGTACCTATGATGAAAATTACAGGCCTCTCTCATCTTTTTAAGTGGGAGAACTTGCACAATTGGTGGCTGACTAAATACTTTTTTTCCCCACTGTATATCTCGGAGATACAAGAAAACTCTGGAAATATTGTAGTTTTTCTTTTTGACACATATTTAACCCCTTATTTTTGTTGGCACAAAACTACCTCCATACTTCCATTCATTTCTATGAGTTGCCTTCAGACACTACAGACGTTTTTGTGAAAAGACACATTTATTGGGATGTCTCAACCTGATGTCTCCAGCTTCAACTGACATTTTGATGGGGATTATTTTATTATGTTACTTAGACTGACGCACTGGTGCATCAATAGACTCTTAAGGAATTATTAAAGTGTTAAAAAAAAAAAATAATAATAATAATAAAATAAAAAAAGTTACAAAGAGAAATACATTTAATAAATAAAAATACAAAAAAAAAAAAATACAAAAAAATTGGTACAGTGGTTATCCCACTGGCTATAGGGTGAATGCACCAATTTGTAAGTCGCTCTGGATAAGAGCGTCTGCTAAATGACGTAAATGTAAATGTTAATACTAATATTATTTATTACATGTAGCCTACGGTGCATCCCAAATGGAACCCTGTTCCATATATAGTTCACTACTTTTGACCAGGAGCCTTTGGAAATAGGGAGCAACCAGAGGCTCCATGTAATAGCTCATTTAACACCTTATTAATGTTTGGTGTCCATATTAGGACAGTCTCTGGTTATGATATTGCAGCCTGTGTCCTGTCCCTCTCTGCCGCTGTATGAACGGGGTTTATGTGTCCTCAGTGGTTTGGGAACCTGGTGACCATGAAGTGGTGGAATGACCTGTGGCTCAACGAGGGCTTTGCCTCCTACGTCTCGTATCTGGGGGCCAACTCTGCTGAACCGACATGGAACATTGTGAGTCTTTCTGTTTTTTTATCATATCTGTGGAACGGTACAACTTTAACTGTTACACAGCTCTCCAAATATACATGTTTCTCAAGGAGTTAACCGACAAAGAAATCTGCTCTCCAAATTCCATTTGACGATAAAAGTGAAAGTCCCGTGTAGCTCAGTTGGTAGAGCATGGCGTTTGCAATGCCAGGGTTGTGGGTTCGTTTCCCACGGGGGGACCAGTATGAAAAAAAAAATGTATGCACTTTAACTGTAAGTCGCTCTGGATAAGAGCGTCTGCTAAATTACTAAACATTTTAAAAGCGGAGGCCTTCTGTGTTGACCTGTTAACTCTCTCTCCACAGACAGACCTGATAGTGCTGAATGAGGTGCATGGTGTGATGTCTGCAGACGCACTGGCCTCCTCTCACCCTCTCTCTGCTAAAGAGGAAGACATCATGAGACCTGCACAGATCAGTGAACTGTTTGACTCCATCACCTACAGCAAGGTGTGGTTCTAATCAAACCTCTTACTGGCGTCCTACAGATGCAGTCTTTTTCTGCGCTTCACAACACAGCACAGCATGCCACATTCACCTGGGTCAAAATCACCTGGGTCAAAATCACCTGGGTCAAAGTCACCTGGGTCAAAGTCACCTGGGTCAAAGTCACCTGGGTCAAAGTCACCTGGGTCAAAATCATCTGGGTTAAAATCACCTTTAAATAAATAAATCTGCAATACATTGAAATAGCAAATGCCACACGTCCTCAAGGAAATGAAATTATTTTGTGTCTGCATTTCTCTTACGGATTTTGACTCAGGTGACTGAGGTAGGCTGTACTGGGCCGTGACAGGCTGTACTGGGCCGTGACAGGCTGTACTGGGCCGTGACAGGCTGTACTGGGCCGTGACAGGTGAGTGAGGCAGGCTGTACTGGGTCGTGACAGGCTGTACTGGGCCGTGACAGGCTGTACTGGGCCGTGACAGGCTGTACTGGGTCGTGACAGGCTGTACTGGGCCGTGACAGGTGAGTGAGGCAGGCTGTACTGGGTCGTGACAGGCTGTACTGGGCCGTGACAGGTGAGTGAGGCAGGCTGTACTGGGCCGTGACAGGCTGTACTGGGCCGTGACAGGCTGTACTGGGTCGTGACAGGCTGTACTGGGTCGTGACAGGCTGTACTGGGCCGTGACAGGCTGTACTGGGCCGTGACAGGCTGTACTGGGCCGTGACAGGCTGTACTGGGCCGTGACAGGCTGTACTGGGCCGTGACAGGCTGTACTGGGCCGTGACAGGCTGTACTGGGCCGTGACAGGCTGTACTGGGCCGTGACAGGCTGTACTGGGTCGTGACAGGCTGTACTGGGCCGTGACAGGTGAGTGAGGCAGGCTGTACTGGGTCGTGACAGGCTGTACTGGGCCATGACAGGCTGTACTGGGTCGTGACAGGCTGTACTGGGCCGTGACAGGCTGTACTGGGCCGTGACAGGCTGTACTGGGCCGTGACAGGCTGTACTGGGCCGTGACAGGCTGTACTGGGCCGTACTGGGTCGTGACAGGTGAGTGAGGCAGGCTGTACTGGGTCGTGACAGGCTGTACTGGGCCGTGACAGGCTGTACTGGGCCGTGACAGGCTGTACTGGGCCGTGACAGGCTGTACTGGGCCGTGACAGGCTGTACTGGGCCGTGACAGGCTGTACTGGGCCGTGACAGGCTGTATTGGGTCGTGACAGGCTGTACTGGGCCGTGACAGGTGAGTGAGGCAGGCTGTACTGGGTCGTGACAGGCTGTACTGGGCCATGACAGGCTGTACTGGGTCGTGACAGGCTGTACTGGGTCGTGACAGGCTGTACTGGGCCGTGACAGGCTGTACTGGGCCGTGACAGGCTGTACTGGGCCGTGACAGGCTGTACTGGGCCGTGACAGGCTGTACTGGGTCGTGACAGGCTGTACTGGGCCGTGAAAGGCTGTACTGGGCCGTGACAGGCTGTACTGGGCCGTGACAGGCTGTACTGGGCCGTGACAGGCTGTACTGGGTCGTGACAGGCTGTACTGGGTCGTGACAGGTGAGTGAGGCAGGCTGTACTGGGTCGTGACAGGCTGTACTGGGCCGTGACAGGTGAGTGAGGCAGAATGTACTGGGCCGTGACAGGTGAGTGAGGCAGAATGTACTGGGTCGTGACAGGCTGTACTGGGCCGTGACAGGCTGTACTGGGCCGTGACAGGCTGTACTGGGCGGTGACAGGCTGTACTGGGCCGTGACGGGCACAAAACGTCAGTCATCATGTTTTATTTCTTATATCCTGTGTTCTCTTCCTCCCAGGGAGCTGCAGTTCTGAGGATGCTGTCTGAGTTCTTGACAGAGCCTGTCTTCGCCCGAGGACTTAGTGTGAGTATTGTTTATGTACATTACTAATTACTATATTTTGTATCACATCATTTTGTTGATATATATAAAGTGACACATATTTAAGTGAGAACGTACAGTTATGAATATAACTAATGTTCCCTGAAGGAGGGAACGAGGTATAACATGCTATTGGGAGTCAACGACCAATCACATTCACTTTAAGAAAACTAAAAACACACCAAATGGGCCAATGAACGCAGAGTCCACTTCCAGACTAGAATACAGTATATACATATGAAATGAGTAAAACAGTATGTAAACATTGTTAAAGTGATGATATAATGGCGCCAGAGGGGATGGCTGCCGTTTTACGGGCTCATAACCAATTGTGCTATTTTGTTTGTTTTTTCGCATTGTTTGTAACTTATTTTGTACATAAAGTTGATGCTACCATCTTTTATGACCGAAAATAGCTTCTGGACATCAGAACAGCGATTACTCACCTCAAACTGGACATATATATATTCTTTAATGAGTCCGACGCAAAGGATATACTGCTTCCCGGAGACCAGGCCCAAATCCCCGTCATTCACGTGAAGAAAAGACGGAGACACAGGGGGCGGAGGTCGGGGTGCCTTGTGAGGATTCGTAGGCGAGTGAGTAAATCGCCACTACCATCGGTTCTATTGGCCAACGTGCAATCACTGGAAAACAAATTGGATGATCTATGATCGAGACTATCCTACCAACGGACATGAAAAACTGTAATGTTTCACCGAGTCGTGGCTGAACGATGACATCGATAATATAGAGCTGGCTGGGTTTTCCATGCATCGGCAGGACAGAGCAGCTATGTCTGGTAAGACGAGGGGCGGAGGGGTGTGTCTATTTGTAAACAACAGCTGGTGTCTAATATTAAAGAAATATCGAGGTTTTGCTCCCCTGAGGTAGAGTACCACTTGATAAGCTGTAGACCCACTATCTACCAAGAGAGTTCTCATCTATATTATTCGTATCCGTCTATTTACCACCACAAACCGATGCTGGCACTAAGACCGCACTCAACGAGCTGTATAAGGCCATAAGCAAACAAGAAAATGCTCATCCAGAAGCGGTGCTCCTAGTGGCCGGGGACTTTAATGCAGGCACATTTAAATCAGTTTTACCTCATTTCTACCAGCATGTCACATGTGCAACCAGAGCAAATAAACTCTAGACCACCTTTACTTCACATACAGAGACGCATACAAAGCTCTCCCTCGCCCTCCATTTGGCAAATCTGACCATAATTCTATCCTCCTGATTCCTGCTTACAGCAAAAACTAAAGCAGGAAGTACCAGTGACTCGCTCAATAAGGAAGTGGTCAGATGACGCGGATGCTACGCTACAGGACTGTTTTGCTAGCACAGACTGGAATATGTTCCTGGATTCATCCAATGGCATTGAGGAGTTTACCACATCAGTCACCGGCTTCATCAATATGTGCATTGACGACGTAGTCCCCACAGTGACCGTACGTACATATCCCAACCAGAAGCCATAGATTACAGGCAACATCCGCACCAAGATAAAGCGGGAGCTCTAGCCTTTCAAGGAGCGGGACACTAATCCAGACGCTTATAAGAAATCCCGCTATGCCCTCCGACGAACCATCAAACAGGCAACGCAGCCGATGTGAGCAAGACCTTTAAACAGGACAACATTCACAAGACCGAAGGGCCAGACAGATTACCAGGGCGTGTACTCAGAGCATGCGCAGACCAACTGGCAAGTGTCTTCGCTGACATTTTCAACCTCTCCCTGACTGAGTCTGTAATTCCAGCATGTTTCAAGTAGACCACCATAGTCCCTGTGCCCAAGAATGCAAAGGTAACCTGCCTAAATGACTACCGCCCTGTAGCACTCATGTCGGTAGCCATGAAGAGCTTTGAAAGGCTGGTCATGGCTCACATCAACACCATTATCCCGGAAACCCTACACCCACTCCAATTCGCATACCGCCCCAACAGATCCACAGATGACGCAATCTCAATCGCACTCCACACTGCCCTTTCCCACCTGGACAAAAGGAACACCTATGTGAGAATGCTGTTCATTGACTACAGCTCAGTGTTCAGCACCATAGTGCCCAAAAAGCTCATCACTAAGCTAAGGACCCTGGGACTAAACACCTCCCTCTGCAACTGGATCCTGGACTTCCTGATGGGGCGCCCCCAGGTGGTAAGGGTAGGCAACAACACATCTGCCTCGCTGATCCTCAACACCGGGGCCCCTCAGGGGTGCGTGCTCAGTCCCCTCCTGTACTCCCTGTTCACCCATGACTGCGTGGCCAAGCACGACTCCAACACCATCATTAAGTTTGCTGACGACACAACAGCGGTAGTCCTGATCACCGACAACGATGAGACAGCCTATAGGGAGGAGGTCAGAGACCTGGCAGTGTGGTGCCAGGAAAACAACCTCTCCCTAAATGTGAGCAAGACAAAGGAGATGATCGTGGACTACAGGAAAAGGACATCGACGGGGCTGTAGTGGAGTGTAGTGCGTACGGCCCAATACATCACTGGGGCCAAGCTTCCTGCCATCCAGGACCTATATACTAGGCAGTGTCAGAGGAAGGCTCCAAAAATGGTCAAAGACTCCAGTCACCCACGTCATAGACTGTTCTCTCTGCTAATGCACGGCAAGCGGTACCAAAGACTCCAGTCACCCAAGTCATAGACTGTTCTCTCTGCTAACGCACGGTAAGCGGTACCGGAGTGCCAAGATCCAAGAGGCTCCTTAACAGCTTCTACAACCAGGCCATAAGACTGCTGAACAATTCATCAAATGGCCACCCGGACTATTTACTCTCAGTCCCAGCTTTGATGCACCTGTACTGACCTCGTCTTCTGGATGATAGCGGGGTGAACAGGCAGTGGCTCGGAGATTATCCGTTCACCTTGTCAGCTTCCTGCCTCCTGTTTGTCTCCGGGCCTCTAGAGGTCATCTCAGGCTACTTCCTTACCGCCTCATCGCACGTATGACTGTGCCATTGATCTACTCCCTGGGTGCTGCCCTCCTAGAGGTCGGATCTTTTCCTTGTCCTCCCCCGAGCACGCAGCTATGGACACCTAAATTAAGGAGTCCTTGGCAGCCGGCCTCATCTATGCCTCTAC